GGCGACCCGCGTTGCTGGCCCGCTGGCCGAGATGCATAAACCCACCACACCTCTCTCTCCACTTGCTGCAGCCACCACCCTGGATTCTGAAGGGGGCTCTATGAAGTGAAGTGTGGCAGGGCTATGGGGAGGGGGGCCAAATGGAAGTGGACCCAGAGTGGGAGTGAGTTTCTGGTTTTCCCCGCCTTTTGCATTCCAGCTCTGACCTGAGAATAGTCCCAAGGCAGAACCACACAGACAGTGTGGCAGCAAAAACTCGGAGAAAAGCCCTGCCTTTAACAGCAGAGGACGAGAGAAAGGGGCCTCTGTGAGCTCAAGAGAGTGGGGGATCCTGGTTTTAACCCTCCCTTCTCTCTTTTTCACCCTGCCACCCCACAGGTGACGCCACTTAAACAGCATTGCAGTGTGCAGGGGCGGCTCTGACATTTCAAACCCCAAGAGAAAACTCTTCTTTCTGATCAGAGGAACTGGGGAAAGGACCTGTGGTCCAAAGGGTTTGAGGGGAATCCTCAGTATCTTTTCTCTTTTACTGAGGGCAGCCCCAGCCGTGCAGCACTGCACAGGCTGCTGCAACCACAAGAACTCGTCTTTCTAGCCAGATGCTCAGGAAAAGGGGCTGCTGGGAACCAGAGAGTGTGGGGAAAATACGTGCTGATCAGGAGAGAGCTGGAAAAGAGCCCCTAATTTTGTGTATGAACTGACATAAGTCCTAGGCTCGCCCTCAAGCTGCACGTGTGTGGGACAGACTCAAAGTGGCACAGCAAAGGCTGAGAACTGACCACGAAGGAAGCAACTACCCGAGTCCCAGACGAATCCCTGAGCAGCTCGCCTGTGGGGCGCAGTGATGCCTCTGAAAACTGAACTGCCCCCCAGAGCGGGGATGCAACCTGTAGTCAACATTTCCCAAGGGATTTTAAGAGAACCCTGAGTCTCACAACATAATACTGAAAACGTATCAGAATACAATACAAAATTACCCACGATCAAAAGAACCAATGTTGAAGTTATTACCAAAGCCTTTAAAATAGCCTTTATACTTCATGGTACAAGTAAACACTCTTGAAATGAAAAGACAGATGTTCTGAGCAAAAAAAATAGATACTATAAAAAAAACTAACTAAATAGAAATTTTAGTATAGAAAACTGTAATATTTGAAATTAAAAAAAGATCACTGACAGAATGGAGAGAGGTGTCAGTGAACCTGAGGATAGGCCAATCAGAGGAACTGACAGAAAACATATTGAAAAAACAACAACAACCTCCCCCCCCAAAAAAAACAGAGCTTCAGGAACTTGTGGGGCGATATTAAAAGGTCTAACATTTGCATCACTGGAGTCCCCAAAAGAGAAGAAAAAGATTAGTGCACAAAAAATATTTGAAGACATAATGGCTGAAAATTTCCTAAATTTGGCAAAAGACGTACATTTACATCATCGAAAAGCTCAGCAAACCCCAAACAGGATAAACCAGAGAAAATCAGGCCCCTCCATGTCTCAAAATGCTGAAAATCAATGAAAAACATTTTGAAAGTAGCCAAAGAAAAACAACCCATTGCTCATAGGGGGAACTAGTATTTAAATGTGCATTTCTCATCAGAGACCAAGGAAGCAAGAAGAGAGGGGAGCAACAATTATAAAGTACTGAAAGGAACGGGCAACCCAGGATTCCAGTGAAAATATCCTTAAGGAACGACAGAATTCTTAGTTGAAGAAAAACCAATGGGTTGGTCAAAAAGTCCATTTAGTTTTTTCCGTAACAGAAAAGACACATTTTTTATTTTCACTAATAACTTTACTGATTTGGATATTTTGAGTATGTCAGCTGTCTCCCGCTATTGGCTTCTAGTGGGGAGAGGCCAGGGGTGCTGCTCAACATCTTCCAGTGCATAAGGCGGCCCCACAGCAAAGAATTATTTGGCCAAAATGTCAATAGTATCAGGAAACTTCACATACCAGCTTTGACATGTTTGCTCAGTCACAGCATTTCTCCATATACTACACAAATCTTTTTTTTTGCACTTCAGTTGTTTTTACCTTTTTTGAAATAATAAAGCATAATATACTAAAAATGTTGCATATTTCCTTCCACCTTCAATATTAAAATGGCTGCACAAAAATTCACCACTTTTGATAAGTTTTTAAAAAAATGCACACTGATATGACAGCTGTCACAATACAATCTAACAAAATTGTTTTTAAGTCAAAGACAACTAAACTCCACTACAGCCATCATAGAGAAAAAACTAAATGAAATTTTTGGCCAACCCTATAAAAGAAACGTGTCAGCATCAGAACTACTGAAAAAGAAGTGCTAAAGGAAGCTTTGCTGGCTGGAAGGGAGACAGAGCAGAGGGACACTTGGGACTTCACGGATGAAGGAAGAGGAACAGAAATGGGCAGCTGAGAACCATCTGAGTCACTGGTGGTCTCTTGGGGAAAGCCAGTTCTGAGGAACAACGGATCTTTTTGCCTTTTGAAATTTTCCATTAGGTCTCTAAGCCGAAGCCCTTCGCCTTCAGAATTGAGAATCGTGGGCACAGTTCAAGCAGATTTTTGCCAATAGATACGGCAGAGTTCAGCCAAGGAATTGAAAGCTCTGATGTTAAACTGTCTTCAGCTTTTATGTATGTCAGAAGTTCAGACACTGAAAGTGCTTTGTATCTTAAGTAACACTTATACTTACTTGGAATGTTATAATGCATCATCTAGGATACATAAATAGAAAATATGTTAAAGTAGAATTGATATAAAATGCTAATTTCAATTTAACAGACATTAATAAATCAGGCCTTGTTCCCATTGACTCTTAGTGTGTTTCATGCCTAGATATGCACATTAGGGTGTTAATAACTTTAAGTGTTAGGCAACAAATTATTATTTTGCAAAAGTTGGAGGGAGGCTACAGTCTGCCTCAGAACAATCTCAGGGAATGAATACTGACCAAGCATTCATTTTAGAAATCACTGCCAGCAAAGCTTGTACATCAGGAACAGAATTGCACTTGCAACGTTATACTGGACATATTAATAGATGCCTTTGACGTCATTTAAAGCTCCTGTATTTTCTCTTTCCAAGTCCAATATGCAAATGTGAGTGATACTAACAAACATTATACTACACATTCATAAACTTGTAGTTCATTCAAACAAAAAAAGAAACCTCAGAGGTTTCTCCATCGCCACAGGAGAAAATCCGATGCCCTCAGCGTTTCACACACAGCCCCTGGGACCTCCATGACCTTCTGGCTCCCGTGGACCCTCCAGCCTCGTCTCCTGCTGCATGTGGCCCTCCTTTATTTCCTAAACCTGGTCATTTCCAGTGTAATCATTTTGTTGTACATTCTCAAATATCAAGCTACAATGTTTTCCACACCTCTAGGTCTGTCCCCACCCTGCTCCCTCTGTCCTGTGTGCCCCCATCTCCTCTTGTCCTCGCTCATTCGGACCATTGCAGTGCAAAGCATGACAGCATAGGCGTCCGAGCAGTTTGTGCAATGAAGACAGTGTAGGGCTATGGGAAAACACGGCCCACGCTAGAACGCAAGCATTCTCCATAAATGGTACCTAATGTTATTTCCCATAAGGATTAGTCCTCTCTTCCTTCATGTTTTATCTACAAATACTTTGTGCCACACAATCCTCAGATAGAGAGGGTGATAAAAAAGAGGTTAAAAAAATCAAATTCAGGTGGGGAGGACAAAACAAGTAATTTGCAACACCGCTACTGTAAAGCAGGGTGTGTCTACATAAACAAAATAACAACAAACACCCTGTAAAGTGTTCAGTTACAGATGTCATGGCAACTTGGTACCTGTACTGGGGTTTCTATAGCTCCCACTTTTGTGTAAACATAGATAGACCAGAGCAAGGTGGGTTCGCCCCTCTCCAGAGGACCCATGAAGCAGGGACGCTGAGCAGAACTGAGGCAGGGGTGTGCCTGGCGGTGTGTATGGAGCAGGTGTTTCAATGGGAAAACCTTGGGCTGGGAGAGCGTGTGTTACTGCAGTGGCCGCATCAGCATGTCAGCCATGGCGCTGTGAGCCAGCGGAGCAGTAGGAGGCAGGACATCACCGATGGAAATGCTTCTAAATTCCTAAGACTTCCTGCCCCACAATTTCCTGCTCCCAGGGTCTATATCCTGTGGTCTCATTCCAACATATAAACAAAAGGGCTCAGGACACATTCTAGAATAAATGAATGCTCCATCACATAAGCAAGTTTCTCTTAGCATTGGTACCAATGAGAACCACCGACATTCCAGACTCAGCAAGAGGCCAGCCTTAACAAAGAGTCCTTTTTCGGCCCACAGGCCTGAGGCAGCAGGGCTGTAAGCACAGAGGCAGGCAGCCGCTCTGAGGGTGTAGAGCAAGTGGAGTGGCAAGAACTTTCTCCCCTGTGGGCACAGGCGAGCTTAGAGCTATGGGAAGACAGCAGCAGCATGATCATTTAAAAAATGCTTAGCAATTAAAATTCCTATAAGAGTATCGAATGGGAACAACTAAATTCCAATTCTGTGCTTTGAAGCTATTCATTGGAGCATTGCAAAGGGTGCAGGGGAATTTGAAGATTAACATTACCTTGTGTGTAGTGTCTTGTGACCATTGGTCTCTTTCCTTAGTTCCTAGATTTTCTAGTTTTCCTTTTGAGCATGAAACTTGAGATGACAATTACACAGCCCATCAGCGGGTCAGCTCTGAGAACAATGCTGGGGTCCCTGCGTTGGACTAGGAGGCAGGGGACCTCAGTTCTAGTCCCAGCTCTGAGACTTCTAGGACAACTTATCCCCAATAACCTTCACTTTTGTCATTGATAAAAACGAAAAAGACAGGTGAGCTGTGAGGAAATTGTTCAAAGTGCCGTGCAAGTCCAGAGCCCACTGATGGTCTGGGCGAGGTGGGGGATGCAGCAGGGCCCTGCCCTCCTGCCATAAGGGGCCAGCGACCCTGCTAGGCCCTCAGCTATCTTTCTGCAGAGAGCAGAACGCAGGCCCCGATTCCTTACCTTCTTTTCGTTGACATCCACCTGCTCCTCTTCCTCATTCACCTCTTCTGGCATGTCTTTGATTTTGTTCAGCAGTTCAGCCTTGGGAGCAGACATGCTGTAGTAGGCAGGGCAGTTGATCAATATGCCCACTGCTTCCTTATCTTCACTCCTGGGCCACAGAGAACAAAAGTATAGCCACACACAGCACATACCAGAGACTTCATTTCACCACGACTCTCCATTCAGAAATGTGTAAAGAATCCTATTCAACTACTTCCCGGAAATGAGGATGAACTAATTAATACATACTTACTAATGAGTGGTAACCATATATATGTAGGGCTCCCAAATCCAGGCGAACTTGGGATGAAAACGACCAAAGGTAGGATGATAAACGTGGTAAATTTAAGAATGATACTGCCTCCCTATTTCACAGAAAGACAGTGGGGAGCCATGTCTCAATCCCTGGGAATGTATTTTAAAGCCGTTGCACAAATCTCAGATTTTAGGTTATTTCCACCTCTTCCAGGGTCACCCATGGTCTTTCTGATGCACACTATAATTGTTATGTGGACATTTATCAATTTTTCTTCTCACGTAAGCCTACTACCCTATATATGCCTGGGAAATTGGGACTTGCTGGTTAACGAGTGTAAGAAGTGAAATCTACTCATTGATTGCATAGCAGGGTTTTTAAGGTGGGAGAACAAATTAGGAGTTGAGAAACCTGCTCTCTATATAGTGTTCTCTGTTTTACTATAATCAAGCTGCCTTTCAGACTACCCACAAAATAAATGACTCTAGAGAAGTCAGTTAGATTTTCTTGGAGAGGTCTTTCAACTAGTCAGTCCTATGACATTATGTAACATCTAGACTATTGTTTTACTGTGGAATAAAAAATACCACAAAAGAGTCTTTTTTTTTTAACTAGTCCCCTGCTTAATGGGACCATTCCTCTAAGCAATATAATTATGTTTAATCCAGTTAATTGAAAAAATAGGAAAAAGGATTTTTTTGATATGTTGCCTCCAGATATAGTCATTACATTACAAGTGGGCTTCTCATACATTTATCTGATAACCAAACCTCACAATAGATATTATCTTATATACAACAGAACAATGCCCATTTTCACCAGAAGATGGCGTGTGCCAATCTTTGAAATTCCTCTTGCAAAAGCTACATGACCATTTCACTTCTAAACTGACTGAGAACATACGTTCTGGATGATAATGCTAGGACATGCTGAGGATGTGCTTATAAATTACCCTGGTCTCTCTGCAGCGAGTGGTCAGAGAACAGAACGAAGCGAATGGAAGCCCCTCACTTTGACCTACCACAACCACTCCTGGTGAGCTAATGGGCACACCCATGGAAGTTTGTCTTTGGGCCCCTCCTGGTGCCCAGTGGTTTGCCTTGCATATTGTGGGTGCTCAGTAAATGTTTGCTAACACACGGCCCTGGATAAGTCAACTTCACGTCAATTAGTTTCTGACCAATATGAAACAGGAAATAAACAAGGTGACCAACCACTCAGGCCTTGTATTAGAAGAGCCTCTGGCACCGCTGCCGTATCAAAGAGCTTCTAAGTATTAATAGCTCTTTGCTTGCCCCACTCCCCCAATCAAAAAAATAGTATTCTTTTTTTGTTGTTGTTATCATCATCCTCACCCAAGGAAATTTGTATTGCTTTTAGAGAGAAAGGAAGGGAAAGAGAGGAATATTGATGCGACAGAGAGGCATCAACTGGTTGCCTCCCATGTGCACCTGGACCAGATATTGAACCCACAACCTAGGCATGTGCCCTGATCAGGAATCGAACCCACAACCCTTTAGTTATGGGGTGATGCTCCAACCAACTGGGTCATACTGGCCAGGGCAAAACATGGTATTCTTGTTGGTAATTTAGTTAGGATCATTTGGAAATTTCTAAAATGCAAGTCCAAATTTAGATGGAATGCTCTGTTTTTATTTAGTCTGGAAGCCACTCACTGTGGAGTGCTAATCCATCAATTCAGTTTTCACTGGAAATTAAAAAGAAAATAAAACCACTCTAAATCTTTCCCATAGCAGTACTTGAAGGAACTCAAACATGTGATAAAATATTGCCATAACAGGAGAAATCAAAAGAATGAAAAGTAGACGGCTCACCGTCCTTTCACCCCCTGTGGCTGGGCACTGGGGCACACATTTTGGGGCAGTAACTGTGTGGGCTCAGGGAACACCAGGGGCGGAGGCTCAGGGACTGCACAAAAACCACAAGAGTGTGCCCCCATTCGGACCTCTCTTGATTCTCAGATAGGAGCAAACCTTCACCCTAAGTCTTAAAGGCGCAGGCCAGTGTAGTAAATCTATGTCTCTAGGCTCGGCATCCTTTTCACAAAGGAGGCCTCTGTCCTGCTCACCTCTCCCGCCTGCTCCTTCCTGTCTCAGCGCTGACCCCGGTGGGCTCTCTGTAAAGGTAACTGTCAACTGTCGGGGAATGGGAGGTTGCATGTTCGCTGGGCTGGGGACACTGTGTATCCTTAAGAGAGCAGGCTCGGCCACAGTGCCGAGTTCAGATAGGGATGCCATCACTCACATGTTCTAGGACTTCAGGTGGGCACAGGCTTAGTTTCTCTGTGCTTGTTTCCTCACTTGTAAAGTGGAGATAAAGTTGGTAGCTATCTCAGAAGGTTCTTGTGAAGATTAAACAAGATAATGTTTATATTAAAAAATTAATACCATGTTTAACACAAAGAACATGAACAACAGATATTCATGACAATTATTACTATTACTGTTCTTGTTGCTGGGAAAGTGCCTGGTAAGTCAAAGTCAGTCAGTCCCTCATCCCGATCCTCAGAGCCATTCTACTATAGCTGACAAGGACTGTCACTCTCAGACTTTTTAAAAAAAGTTAAAAAAAAAAATCCTCACCCGAGGATATGTTCATTGATTTTAGGGAGAGAGGAAGGCGGAGGGGTGGCGGAGGGGAGAGAGGGAAACACAGATCAGTTGCTTTCTATACGTGCATCCCAACTGGGGGTGGGAACGGCAACATGGTGGTGCAAGGGACAACGCCCCAACTGAGTCCCCTGGCCAGGCATGGGTCACCATCTTTGGAAGCAGAAATGTTCAGGTAGGTAGTCCCAAAGTTGTCACCCTGTAGATGGAGTTCATTTCTAAGTCTGTTTGGGGACAGTCACCAGGGACTTACCTCTTGCCTTCAGGTCCCGGGCAGCTGACAGTTCTCGGCAAGGCCCTCCTCTTCACGCTGTGTTCCTGCAGCGAGCTCACGTCCCGAGGAAACAAGCCTTCCATCAGGTCCATAGTTGTCTTCAGTCTGGAGTCTGGATCCAAAATGTCTGCCAGGGACTTGTCTTGATGGACAATTTCCTTGGCCAGAGCCTGTGTTCTGAGGTCTTCTGAGGTCTTCTGAGGACCAGAAGTGACACTCTTTTCTAAATCCTGAGCCCCACTGATTGTGTCATGGATGGGGCCTTGGGTCAGGATGGGAGGTGGCTTTCCTGGGCTTGGCTGCCAGGCAAGGGGCCCGGCATGGTGGGGCAGAGCCCCCGTGGTGGGCAGCGGGCTGGTCTCATTGGCCTCTGAACCCTGGATAGAAGTTTGGCACCTGGAAGCTAGTATTTGACTACCAACCAAATGGGCTGCACCAGACATGCGACTTTCCTTGGCAACTGTCACACTGGCAGATTTGCTGGAGCTATTGGATATTGAGAGAGAGAGAGAGAGAGAGAGAGAGAGAGAGAGAGAGAGAGAGGGAGGGAGGGAGAAGGAAATAGTCAATAGAAGGTGAGGGTAAGAGGGTGAAGTCTGAGGGGAAAGTTTTCACCACCCGGGCTGTAGCTTCCCACATCAGGAATGGGGTGAAGTAGTCATACTTCTGAGGTTGTTGTTCCCCCCAAACTGCAGCTATTCTGCCCTGACTGGTGTGGTTCAGTGGGTTGGGCGTCGTCCTGCAGATGGCAAGGTCACCAGTTTGATTTCCAGTGGGGGCATGTGCCTGGGTTGCAGACCAGGTCCCCAGTTGGGGGACTTCAAGAGGCAACCAACTGATGTTTCTTTCCCTCTTTCTCCCTCCCTTCCCTTTTCTCTAAAAATAAATTGCAGCATCGAAAGGGCCTTCAGCTGGGCCCACTACTTGGTCACGGGGAGGTTGTATGACTTTTCAAGGGGGGTGAATCAAGTAGACATTCAATTTCAGTGAACAGAAGATAGTGGTAAATCACTCGGATAGTTAGAGGGAGTACCACAAAGGTGAGAACAGGCCATGCAGTTGGCTTTCTTTTTATTTGATGTGAAAGATCACTTGTCCGAGGGAGTATGTGTTGGGAAATGCTTCCTCCCCATTCTTCTGGCTTCCAAGAACAGGTTTTCCCTAAACATTACTGACCTTTAACCCTTCTCTTTATTCCTTGCTATGGGTAGGGAGTGCCTTTGGAAAGAGAAGCCAACAATAGCACATTGATAGTCCAGCTTTTCTAAGAGTAAGGCCGCCTCTAGGCATACTATCATGTTCTCTCTCTTTCTCTCTCCATATGTATGTAAAATATACACACATATATGTCCATGTGGATGTCTAGCTTAGCCTGTGAATAGGCAGGTAAACCTATTTAATTTGGGGGCTCAGTATCAGGAGGCCCACTGGACACTCAGATGGAAGCCATATTCTCCAGTATCAGCTCTGTCAGTGATATAACTGATATTTTTGTCTTCTGTATGCCTTCCTCTTTTCTCTTATTCCTTAACGGATTCAGAACTCAAGAAGGAAAGAGGGATGCTATTTATTTGGATCCTTTGAACTTACCATGTCCACAGAAGTGACCTCAGCCTCCTGGGTGTTGGCTGTCCCTTTCACCATCTCCCTCCCTGCCGCCCAGTGACTGCTAGTGTGACCGCCCCCCAGGGAAACAACAACAATCTGCCAGCTTCACCAGCTGAGCTTCTACAAAACACGTCCACACCGGGGCTCTCCTGCAGCCAACAGGAGGAAGGCCTGGGAAGCCTGGAGCATGAACATCTCTTACTAGCGAGGGAAAACCGCTCTTCCTAGACAACCTGCCCACTCACCTGGTGTGGAGCTCCTTGTAATCCTCACTGTCCAGCTGCGCCTCACACAGAGCTTGGGGAGGAGGTGGAGGAAAGTCATCGGAGCTACTCACCAGGCTTTCCTGGCTCAGTGGAGGGGGTGGGGGTGGGGGTGGGGGAAGAGCTTCAAATGTGGGGCTGGAAGTGGCACGGGGGTGCACGTCCTTCACAAACACTTCGTCGTCACAGTCCTCCCGTGGCGGTGGGGAGGCCTGCAGGGCTGACTCAGATATTCGGAGAGAGATCCTCCCTGGAGTGCTTGGGACCCCAAGAGGTGTGTCTGGGTCAGAAGTGCTGCTTGAACTCGGAAGATTCTGCTGTTTTCTGTAGTGCTTCAGGTTTGCAACCTCGAGGGAGGGGGATTCCTCGGGGAGGCTGTTCTCTCTGACAGCGCGGGCCCACTTCACCCGGGGTGGGGGAGGCCACTTCCTCATCCCGTCTTCGACCCCATGCTCTGGGCTGCGGGGCTCATGGCCTCTGGGACTGGGAGGCTGGGCCAGGCTGTGGCCATTGCTTCTGTGAGTCACTGCTGGGGTGTAGGGCTGATCGCCGGCAGCCTGTGCGCAGGAGCTGGAGGGGACAACAGAAGGCAAAGCTGAGTTGACTGGGGTCAGTGGGACAGCCCTGGCATCTGTGGAATGCCCTTGCAGTCCTATGGGCAGTGGCCTGGGGCAGGGCACTCTGCTGGCCTGCCTTGGATGGTCCAGCAGTCCAGGATATTCAATGGGACCCGAGGCACCAACTACTTTGCCACCTGAACAACCCCGATGGGAACTGGGGTGGTGTTTGAGCAACAGCATCTCTTCTCCACCTCTTTCTGAACAACCAAGTGATCTGGAGCAGGACGCAAGCACAAGCATTACAGCTCCAATGAATGGGGCAAACACAGAGCTGCTGAGCCCAAGGTTCATTACACAGATGGGAAAAGCATTTGACAGGGAGAAGGACCCCTAGAGAAGCTGCACACTCTCTCCCTCCCCCACCAGCTGCTCATACAAAGAACCGAGTTTAAGTAAAATACCAGATAGTCATAACCTCCTACAGGAAGATGTCACGTGGCATTTGCTTTTATTAGCCTTCTCTCACTGCCCCTACCTCCCACCCCCACCACCCACATAGAGTGGCTTTTGAGGACAGGCTTCAGGTTATAAAAGGAAAGAAACAAGTAGGTGCATTTCTGCAGCTTCCTTTAGGACAACATTGGAACCAGCCCTGACTGGGGAAAGAGAGTGAATGCTGCCTCATTCTCTCCCAGTGCAATCCTGAGGCCCATGGTGGTGGTGGAGGGTTGTGGGGGTCGGGGTCTGTTTGGAGAGCATCTGTGCTGGCAGCTGATTTGAAGGTTTTATTTACAACTTTCTCTTAGCCTCCTAGTGTTAACATTTCTTACAATGGAATGTAAAAAGGAGGGGGAGAGTCTCATTTAAGGAGCTAATATGCAGTTACCTCTGGAGAAAGAGATTGACAACAATGAACCAATAGGGTAATTTAAATGAATGTCCCCTATCCAGGCTCCAAGGAAAGCCTCAATAATTTCTAGTACTGTTGCTATTGTGTTATAAAGGGGGAAAAAAGAGAAAAACAAAATAAAGAAAATAGGAGTCTGTAGCATTGCCTGCCTGCCAGCCATGCCAGACTTGATATGAGGAGAAATCTCCAGCAAACCACCATCATTTAAGATCCTGACTAGTATGTGCGCGAATCTGGAGAGCAGATGGCACTTTTCATTTTGCAGATCCAAGTCTACAGGGAGCGTGGCTCAGTCCCGAGTCAGAGGCCCAGCACAGGCCTGCCACGAAATTGTCTAAGGGCCCGCCAGCAGGGACAGTGGGGCATACTGAAGGGAAAGGCAGCGGAGACCAAACTGGCCCTTCTTGTACTGTTATTTTTATTTATTATAAATGCAGACAGTTGAATAAGGGGCCTATCTCTCTCTCTCAGATGCAACCTCTCCTCTTCCATCACAGATCCTCTTCATCTAGAGGTGGTTCTGTTTGTTTTTTATTTTTTGTTTTGACCAGGACCATCTCAATATCTAGGACTGGCTACTCTGTACTTCTTGTAGGGTTCCCAGATGGGTATACAAGAAGCCCAGAGGCAGGAAGTTCACTAGGGGCGCTATGCACTCACATGTCTTAACCTTGGACATCTCTGGTACAGAGTACCCTCTTAGTAAATGTCTGTGGAACAAGGTCTCTTCTGCCCAACTGCTCTTTACACTGTACAGTATAAACTAGTTTTAAACTTAGTACCCTCCAACAGGACACGGAGTAAACTGGAATCTGATGTTCTAATGACTAGTTCAGGTACCTTCCTCTCCTTACTCTAAATCTTGAGGCTCATTAGGAAAGACATCACTAAAGCATACAATAAAGGAGTACAGCACTTGTCCTTGAAAATCCAGCCCAACAAACCTTGACACGTTTTTAGTTTGTTTAATCTTCTTAGTTTATGGGAACCAGACTTAAATTACATACCTATGCTTGAAGGTGATATTTGAGTTAAATGCTTGCTTAGCTTGGTTGAGAATGCTTCTCCTTGGTGATTGTTTTGTATTTTTTTCAAGAACAAAGAATGAGATAAAAAAGGTTTTCTTTGGGTGTCTTTTATAATAGAATGTGAGGCAAGCATCTGTTGATATGTATCCAGGACCCGAATATTCAAGAATGGTGTTTGAGAGCAAGGAGTCTCATTTTTTCCCTTCATAGCATTCTTTTTATGTGGTAAAACCCACATAACAGAAAATTCACCACTTTAACCATTTTAAAGTGTTTGGTTCAGTAGTGTTAAGTTCATGTCATCGTGAAACAGAGCTCCAGAACTTTTTCATCTTGCAAATCTACAACTCTGTATGTATTAAGCAACAACTCCTCTTTTCCCTCTCCCTCAGCCCTGTTGACCACCACTCTACTTTCTGTTTCTGTGAATTTGCCTACTGTGGATACCACATGTAAGTGGAATTGTGGAATATGTCTTTCTGTGGCTGGCTTATTGCTTTTAACATCACATTTCCCGTGTTCTTCCATGTTATAGCATGTGTCAGCATTTCCTTTAAGGCTGAATAATACCACTGACACACATACCACATTTTGTTCAGCTACTCTTCCACTGATGGACATTGGGTTGGTTGCTTCCACTTCTTTGCTATTGTGAATAATGCTGCTATGCATGCAGGCATGAAGATAGCGCCTCAAACCACTGCTTCCAATTCTTTTGGATACAGAGTCAGAAATGGTTCTGCTGGGTCATATGGTAGATCTATTTTTAATTTTTTGAGGAATCTTCATCCTGTTTTCCATAGCAGTTGTAGCATTTTACAATCCCAACAGAGCATAAATTTTCCAATTTGTCTACATCCTCACCAACACTTTTTTTATGTATGTATGTATTTAAAATAGCAGTTATCTTAATGATCGTAAAGGGTATGAAGTGGTATCTCACTGTGGTTTTGATTTGTATTTCCCTGGAGATTAGTGACCTGGAGTATCTTTGTATATGCTTGTTGGCCATCTGACTACCATCTCTGGAGAAGGTCTATTCAAGTCCTTTCTGTAATCGAGCTATTTGATTTTTTTGTGGTTGAGTTTAGTTTCCCCTTGGATTTCAGTTCTCTTTTGGCAGTGCCCTAGTTCACAGTTTTCCTTGGTCTCTAGCTCTTAATTAATGCACCCAAACTAACCAAAGTCCTCAGCTTCACCCTGAATCCTTTCTTCACATTAGGCCCAGCTACAGACGCAGGAGCACATAACCGTGGAAGGCTGCTCTCCTGGCAGTGAAGCAGGTAACTTAACACTCACTTCCTAACCATGTGGGCTGCTTCTAAGTGACAGCATTAGGTTGAATTATTGAGAAAGTGAATAAAGAAAAAGAGGGAAACAATGATTGAATGAAACATAAGAAAAATAAGGGACCTGGCTTTAAAATGTGGAAGGTAGTAGGGAGGGTGTGAATGTGCTTTCAGGAGTACGTAGATTATAGCAGACAGCCCTGTGATGCTGCGCAACACCACATGCTGGCATGTGCTTTGGAGAAAACTCTCTTTGGAATTTTCTACTTATTCAGCTCCGAGTGAATAGTTGAAAAGTGCAAATTCTAAAAAATTGTCCATTATATTTTGCTATCTAGGAGAAATGATTTTGATGCTAGCTTTTAAAATGACTTCAAAATTTTCTATCCCCGAGTGCCTAGATATTATGATTTTGGAGCTTTATTTTTTTACTTCAGGTGCTTCCTGTGGGTTTGCCTCCCTGTGTGGAGCTGTTCCTGAAATGTTCATTCCCCTCCAAGCACTTGACTCAGCAGACCCAAACCTTTGTGCACAGAACTGGAGGTCAGCTACACAGGAGGGGCCCCGTGTGTGAGAGCAATAAGCTTGAGAAGAGCATGCCCATGAACTATTCCAATGCTACACTTACTAGAAGTCAAACACTGCCTTGATAGCATGCATTCAAAACCTATTTTGAGTAAGTGTCATTCCTAAAGAAAGTCACCTATAAACAAAAATGTTCCCCACAGCCCAGTGAAACATCGTCATATCACATTTCGGTTTCCTGTACAGAGGCACAGATACATGGAATTCCAGCAGCATCCTTAAGGCAGAGGGCAGCAGACACACATGTACATACCTGGATCGAGGGCCAGCTAAGTGACACGGATCCTTCACAAGATTAAAGCCATTGTTTTCTCCCAAAAGCATATCCTAAAACACAAGAAAGGCACAGCAATATTACTAACGAATTTACCAAGGGAGTGGAGGCAGGAACAAGAACAGTTATTGGAAGCCTACCGTTTATCACTAGGCACCATAGTGGCACTCTTCCACATTACCCCACTTCACCCTCAAGGCCCCAGGAAGTAGTACTAACCCCACCGCATGGCTGAGGATGCAGGCCCAAGGTTAGCCTCCCCAGCATCCTGGTGGCAGAGCTGGGATTTCAACCTCAGTCTGTCTCACCAGGCACCTCTGCAAACAAGGGAATTTCCTGAGCAAGAGAAATCTGATATTTATCTCCAGGGTTCAAAACAAATGCTATCCTTGAAATATAATGATAAAAATTAATTCAAAGGGCTAACCATTTGAAAGAGCAATAGAGAAACATGGGAGATGACAGGATAGTGTGTGGAATTTAGCAAAAATCTCAAATATTCTCAGTTGTAATTCCAGAAGATATGAATCTGGTGTGTAAGCAGGCTGAACTATGTTCTCTCTGGGTAAAACACTTCAACCACATGTAACATCAATATTTCTGAGCCTTTTCTGGGTAGACATGATGTGTTCCTTTTTAATGAGGGTAATTTTGGTTTCCTGAAAGGGTCCTAGGTCAGTTTTTGATAGTAGAAGTCATAAGATTTGGCCCATGTGAACAACAAATAAGTCTCTGAGGAAGACAATGTTGCTACTGATGACAAACCATTTAATTCTCTATTATTTATGATACTGGGAGACAGGGAGAACACAAATTAAATACATACATTATCTCTAAACTTAATTTCAGTGATTATTTAACCACTTTATCCTTCCAAAGAGCTCATTGCTTTCTCCCCTCCTTTTCTTTTCTTCCCCTAGCCAGTGGTACAGGGACTAATAACAAGAAAAGAACCGACGTAGTAGGCACAAAGAAGAAACAAATGCCTGAATATTATTAGTGGCAGCTGCCCCCTACTGGGAATTTACTGTGTGCCAGGCACTCTGCTAAATTTTTTACAATCCTCAATTATGTGCCTAGAGTTGTTAGTGGTGGTTCTCACCACCACAAGGTGAATGTGTTCCGTATCAGAAACAAAGGTCTCTGAAATCACAGTGAGAACCAGAGGAGCCTCTGACTCAGCATCTGAGGAAAAAATTCCCCACCAGGAACCTTATTTCTTCACAGGTTTATTTTTGTAGCCCATGTAATGAAGAGGTGCAAATTTCCCCCTCTAATGCAGAAATGTTTGATATTTTTCTGCAGGAACAAGCTACTTTAAAAAGTCTATAAAAAAAAAAAAAAGGAAGAAGGTGTTGTGCCCTTCAGGTCCACCATTAATATCCATTTGTTCTGCAATTACACCGTTGAAATGAGCAGAAGTTAAAGGACAGGTGATGGGAGGCTGCATGTTTCAGGGGGGACCACAGCCGGCTGCGGAGAGGCCCAGGCCTGCTCAGTATCTGCTCAGTATCTGAGTAGGCCTCAGGTTACAAGTGGTGACAGCCTCTGCAGTCACTGTCTCAGGACCAGCAATCAATGTTCATACACAGAGGAGCTGATTTCCATGCTGACTTGTTGTGGAGGCAAAAACTGTCCTCACTTCAGAACTTTTGCAAAGGAGCTGAATCCTTGTCCAAAGCTTGTAAAATCCTGCTCTGTTGGCATCTGGCTAGGAGGAGCCAGGAGCATTTGCTCAGGATGTCCTGGACTGATCTAGCACCAGAAACAGACACCAGTTTTGGGTTTAACTCAGGCAGATGGTCTCTACCGGCTCAATTTCATGGAGTCCTCTAAAGCTGAGACAAGAAAATTCCTTATTTTAACACCCGCACCAAAGCTTTAGGGTAACGGTAAAGTTCCTGGATTTTTTTCAAGGAAAAGAAAAGAACATGATATTTTGAAATAACCATAGTCATTCTGTGGTGAGACTAGTTGTGTTTTGCTTTTACTAGCTCTACAAATAAGGTAGATGATGGCTGTGTGAAGAAAATGGCTCCGGTCCCAGGGCAGGCAAGGCTGCTGGGCAGGGGGGATGGGAGAGGGAGGCTCAAGAACATGGCCTGGGCGCTGGTTACAATCTGGGGGATGGGAACCTACTCTCAGAATTCGTAGGAGCAGGGCAGCACAGAAAAAGTATTTTATTTTGAAATTTTTTCTTCCTCTGGTGTCATATTCCCCAAATTAAATACTATCTAAATATGGTACTCTCTTCATTGATGAGGATGCCTAAATAATGTTTTGTATTGACTTGTGTTGGGGTCCACCCTGCCTGGTCTCAGGAGCTGCAACCCCCCATAGCTAAGGCCGAGTAAGAGACACTAAAGAAACGAGCCTGTGTCCCTGGCAGGAGTGCTGACTGCTTCTTGCCTGGCCCCCATTGCTTGGTTGGTTAGCCAATGACAGGTAACATTCCTCAGAGGAGGATGGATCTCAGACAGGCATGATCACATGGGTAGGCCCTCAGGGAGAGACTCAGGGGGCTGTGGAAATGAGGGGGTGATCGACCCCTGCCCCCTCGGCTTTGACAAGCCTGAGTCCTTATTCTGCCTGTGAGAAATCCAAATCTCCCGGCTGCCTTTGTCTCCTCTGCCCGACTCAGGCCTGTGGCAAGTGATAAGGGGCAGTGCAGTCCAGACTAGAGCCTGGACCTCCCGGGGTAATTAGACCTGAAGCAGGGAATATGCAAGAACCTGTGAAACTTACTTCGCTGGAGGATACTCTCAATTAGAATACGAAGGCATGGGGAGGAAATGAAACTGGCCCTTCAGGTCCTATAGTTTTTAGGTGATAAGACCTCAACTCAGCATGAGCCCTTTTAGCTCTTTGAAAGTTATCTACCTGTTTCATCTTCCTTGCCAGACTGTAATCAACAAACTGCATCTGTGTTCCTAATAAAAGCCTACTCAGGCAGCGGCTTGGGGCGCTCCCCCCTTGAGGAAGTGGCCGTTCTGTCCCTATGCCTCCACAGGACTCGATAGTCCGTGTGTATTTCTCTCGTACCTTGAGCATCTGCAGCGGCCATGGATACTGCTGGCTGGTATCTGCCTCAGACTTGCCTTTCTAAAAAGTTTTTCAAATAATATAAAGTATGTGATTGGGTTTGGAGGAATCTACACAATCTACATTTTAGCTCTATATCCCAGTTTACCAGGTTTGAGAAATATTTTGTGGAGGGAAGGTGAAATCACATTTGTGTCCAGCTGATTCCCTAGAATAATGAGATCCAGTGGGGGATATAAAACAGAAGAGGATCTATTTTTTTGCCTTAATATTTCTGCTTTCTTTAGAACATGGGGAGCAAAATGAAGAATATGACTGTTCTTCTATGCAGTAAATAACTGAAGCCCATCAAACTCGCTGCAATTGCATGTTACATACACGGATTTAAAAGTATTTTAGTGTCTTGGCCCAATAATTCAGTTGGTTATGAGGCAGGAGATAGTCAGGAAGGAAGCTCCAGAGGCCCCGCAGGGCTGAGGTAAAAAAAAACATCTATACATGACAAAGACCCCCTAAGACGGGTTGTTCCTGTTTTCTGGGGTAACTGAATCATAGAATGCGCCTGCGCGCTACCCCTGATTCATTATAATATCATTATAATGAAATAACATTGTGGGACTCCCTTCTCCAGTAGCCAATCAAGAAAGTCATGGGAAACCACACATGCGCAGTAGCTTTGAAATCCAACTCCTTGTACCTGCGCAGGAAAAGCCCGCCAAAGACTAGCAAGGGGACTTCTGCCCCTATAAGAATAGAATCCCCCAGCCCACGTGTCCTTTTTCTTCTCTGCTCAGAGTTGGCTCACTCCCGTGTCCTGTGGTGTGTACTATCACTTAATAAACCTCCCCTCTTTCTTTATGCTATAAACTTTGTGTGTTCGGTTCAATTCTTTGTCCTCGATCACGAAGAACCTGGTTACTTGTGCACACCTGTGACAGTTAGAGTGTTGTCTTGATATGTTGATATGTCAAGGCTGCAGGTTTGATCCCCCATCAGGGAACATGTGAGGAACAACCAATGAATGCATAAATAAGTGGAACAGCAAATCTCAATCTCTCTCTCCCCGTGACCCCCGCCCTGTGCTCACGCACACTCTCCTCCTTGCCCTCCTCCCCTTCCTCCTTTCCTTCCTGCCTTTCTTTCTCTCTAAGATCAATAAAATATAAATACACACAGTGTTTCAGTGGATAAGGAGTGGAAATTAGTTCTGTTCATTCTGAGGGGGAGGAAAATGGCTCCTGCAGTCTTATGGAGGATTGTCTTTACAGATTTTTGTGTGTGCCTGAGTTTAAATGGGGGAGAAAGTATTTCGTATTTCTGAGTATTTCTGAACAGGAAATACCCGGGAGGGCAGAGTATTTTCTCTCAAAAGGCTGTGTGTATGCGTATTTCAGAGGTAGTGCTACAAACAGACTTCTCAGGCAATAATGACTGAATCTTTCTTTGTCTGAAGCTGCTTCCTCCAAATAGTGCCTCTCACACACAATCTCCAATCCTTTATCAACATTCTGCCCATTCTTTGCAGCCCGCGTCAAACCCCACTTCCCTCAAGAGAAGCTGAGATCCCCTCAGTTTTCCTCCCATAGCACATTATTTATCATTGCTCCCAAAGCATTCACCAGTCATGCTGGTTATTTATATTTAGGAGCACGTTCCTTGCTCAATTGTGAACCCCAGAAAGGCATGAGACTCACTTTCCTTCACCCCCCGTAATGCAGTGCTTTTCATACTAATGTGCTGTACAAATGCTCGCTGAATGATGGGTTTCGCTGCCAGGAAAAACAGAATTTGAGAAGGGGTAATGAGTGGGTAGTTTCTGCTGTGCTAACATATATGTGAATCCTAGTACCTCCTCAGGTGGGATGGAAACCATGAGGGATGCCACTGATCTGTAGTCCAATGTGGAACATGAGGATGGACTAAGAATTAGGGAAGTTGATAGACTCCTAGGAGTCAGGGCACTCAGGTTCTATCCTGGCTCTGCCTGCAATTTCCAGTGGAAAGCACTTCACAGTCTTTGCATAGTTTGGAATCTTTATTACAAAACCCTTTTTGTGAGAATTTAAATGTCTGTGATTCTCCTTTTTCAGGAGGACAGTGCACAGAAAGAGTTCAGATGGGAGTCAGGGAGACACGTGTTTGCTATGGACAATACACTCCACCGCAGAGGGTTATTGTGAAGATTAATGAGATCGTTGCCTGGCTGGCGTAGCTCAGTGGATTGAGCGCGGGCTGCGAACCAAAGTGTCACAGGTTCGATTCCCAGTCAGGGTACATGCCTGGGTTGTAGGACATGACCCCCAACAACCGCACATTGATGTTTCTCTCTCTCTCTCTCTCTTTCTCTCTCCCTTCCCTCTCTAAAAAATAAATAAATAAAATCTTTTTAAAAATGTTTGTTAAAAAAAAAAGATTCATGAGATTGTAAATGTAAAGCATACTTAGCTGAGGGCCTGGGACTCAATAGCCTTTCAAAGTCAATAATTCTATTTTATAAATGCAAAAGTCCAACAGAAACATAGGGGGTACAAAGCTAAAACATTTAAAACTCCAAGATAGCCCTATTCCTTCATGTAAAAAAAGAGAAAAAAGCGAAGGACAAATAAGCAAAAATAATCCCTAACTTTTCCTAACCATGCACTCCTGCATTGAGAGGTGAGTGACTTCCTAAAATGAAGTAATCATATATAATATGTATGTTATACACACACACACACACACACACACACACACACATATCCACATACACATGTATGGACATATATAAAGATATCTATATAGGCTATATGTATCTATTTAAGACATCTATACAACAAACTATATTAATATCTGTCTTTATCTCTGAAAGGCGATCAGGTAGGGGCACTGAGAAAGAAATCTTTTCTGGAAAACAAATACTACTCTTTTACATGTAAAAGGAACTGGAGGGAGAAGAGGGCTTAGAGGAGTGACAACACAGCTTTCAGGACCCAAAGGACAGGCCTAGGATCTGCCAGCAGCACTTACCTGGAGCTTTTTGTGTGTGGTGGGCGATGACCGTGACCTCACGTGGACAGGGACCACGAGGAAATCTGAGCGCTCCAGCAGGTCCTCAGCAGACATGGACTTGCCGGCCCTTCTGGCGGCAGCGCCCCACGAGGAGGGCTCCCCAGGGGTCCTGTCCACCTTCTGGGCGCCCTTTGGTCCACCGCTGTTAGCTTCACAAAGCAGCTCCCTCGGGGCTTGGTCCCCACGTCGCCTTTCTGCGAGGAGGCGGCCGCCAGCGAAGGAGCTACTGCGATCCCGGGACCCACGTGGAGGGGACCCACTGCCTCCTGAAGGTGGCTGTAGGGGGGCCTCCCTGCGGGGCTGCAGGCTTGGCTCCCGCAGTGAGCAGAGGCTGGAGGCCGAGGTGAGCCCTGGGCTTTCGGGCGCTGCGGGACCGGGCTGGAGGTAGGCGCCCTGCGCTCGCTCCCATGGCGGCCCCGGCTCCTGGAGGCCGCCCCCGGTGGCAGAGGTGGCAGAGGCGGGGCGCTGGCCGGTCTTGCGCTGGATGTAGTCGGCCAGTGCGCTCTGCTGGAACTGCTTCAGCTCAGGCCCGGACAGGCTGAGCGTGGAGCAGGCCTTGCCGTCCCGCTCAAAGATGCGGCGCCGGTCAGCCACCGAGCTCTCCGGGAAACGCAGCCCCTTGCGCTGCGGACCCAGAGGCGCCGGCTCGGCTTCTTCTGAGACCCCCACCTCGTTCATCTTCTCAGGCTCTGAGTAGGAGCGCTTCTTCTGCTCGGGGTTCAGGCGTCGGCGTGGTCCCCTTCGGGCAACAGGGGGCGCTGGCCGGGCTAGGTCGCCCTCAGCGGGGGTCACGCTGTGCCGCTCCCGTGGGGTGTGCGGGGAGGCGGATGCGGGGGCCTCTGGGCTCCGCAGTCCCATGTGGGCCGAGGCTGGTCGTGGGCGCCAGGGCCTGGAGGCCCCAGCAGCCCCAGGCTCGAGGTCTCGGCGTCGGAAGGAGGTGGCCCGCAGCACTCGGGACTGCGCGTCTTTGATGTAGTTCCGGTAGGCGTGGCTGAAGGGGGCATCCAGCACTGGCGATTCGGGGGTGCTCGGCCTGTTGTCCCTCCACTTGGCATCCTCCTCGGCCTCGCTGAAGAGCTGAAAGGTGCTCTGGCTGCGGAGCAGGCGAGTGTCCCTGCTTGGGGGCTCACCGCCTCGGAGTGGGGAGCCTCGGCTGCCATCGGCACCCCTCTTCAACTGTTGACCACGAGGCTGCCAGGAAATCTCTTCCAACTTTGGCTCCCCGTTTTTGAAGTGGGGTTCCCCATTGCCTAGGGGTTCGGTGGATTCGGAAAAATGGATATTGGCTTTTGTCTCCTCGAAGTCATTCCTAGAAGTACTAGAAGTTGAGACTATCTTGCTGGGTCTGTAGTTACAGCCATGAATGGAGCTGCCCACACTTGGGGGTCTCTGGCGCCCTTGCTCTCTCTGCTCAATCTTGGAAACCTTCTCCAGCACGGAGCAGTGGGGCTTCCCGTACTGAACGCCCTGCAGAGCTGAGGTGCTGCTGGAGCTGAGCCTCCTGCGGCCCAGACTGGACGTCTGCTGGTGGGGTGGGGAGAGCGGCTCCTCATACCTTGGGTCTGAAAGGTGGAAAGAGCCCAGAGCACTGACTCTGCCCTCAGGCCTTGGATAGGAAACTGGCCTGTCCAGATGGCTCCTGTGATCTGGAACAGCTTTCCTTCCAGGGTTCTCTGTCTTGGTGTTGACTACACAGGTGGGGCAGCCATCCAGGTAGCTGTCCTGGACTCTCCCTCCTGGCTGCAGGCTTTGCCTCCTTAGACTCTCAGGAATGTTCTGAAGAGAGGAGAAGGCTGACTTGGTCTTGCCAAAGTAGCTTGATGGGCTCTGGCTTAGGCCTTCTTTCTCCAGCCCCCACCGGAGGTTGGCATTGTGGTCTTCTTGGAAATCACCCTCCCAAAGCTCCGAGGGCCGGGAAGGTCTCTTGTCTTCGCCCACTTGCCAGGCCTGAGCCTGAGGGGATTGGCGGCTGTGGTAATTAGAAGATGGTTTGTTGCTGTGGGTGTTCTTTCTCTCATTAGGATATGGGCTGTTGCCTTGGAGAGGTGTGATGTGCTTCTTCAGGGGGGTATCCTCCTCATGTTCAGGCACGGAAGGGAAATGGACTTTGTAGGGGACACATTTGGCTGAGATTTCAGGTGGTCTCTCCACTGGGGACAAAGAGTCTTGTTCTAGGGCTTGGTAGAAGGCAAACCCAGGTCTGCTAGATACATTTTGGTTTCCATTCTCATCAAGGGTGGCCACCTTGTCACAGGCTCCCCGAGGAGTCGCATAACCACTCTCCTTGGCCAGTGCAGGGTAAAGCGTGCCATTACTACTTGCAGAGGGTGGGGGCACCTGGGCAAAGTGGGGCTCCAAGGAAGGTACGGGGTAGATGCCCGTCGGCAGCAGAGGTTGGCCAGGCTGGGCCTTCTGGGTGTAATTATGCTTGGGCTTCACGGGGGGGCTGCTCTCTGGACTCTTCTCTAGCACAGTATGCAGCGGTTCCTCTGCGAAGGGAGATTTCAGACAGCCAGAAGAGTTAGCCTGAGGCCGGCAGAGCCGCTTCTGATCAAGGCTAGACCAAGAGCTGGGCCGCTCTCTATGCCGAAAGGCTGCATAACTGTCACTCCGAGTGGGGGGCAGAGGTGCGCCCACTTTAGGAGGCAAGTTGTCAATGGCAGTCTCCGAGGAACTGGGGCACTGCTGGCTCCGGGATGGGGGTGGCACTCCCTTGCCCCGAGGAACAGTATGCCCTTTATCATAGCCCTGACCGTCGGCTGTGGCCCGGGCCTCCCTCCCTTGGAGAAGCAGGGCTGAAGAGTTCACCTCATACTCTGCTGAGACTCCCCTCTGGGGATCATAGACTGTCTTGACATAGCGAATGTCTGCCTGCCTCATCCCTTCTGGGAGGCCACCTCGAGCAGAAGTGGTGTCCATGGAGCCTGAACGCTCCCGGCCCGATGTGCCAGGGGGTGGATACTCTAGGATGCTAGAACTGGTGGAGAAGGAGCTGTAAGCCGAGTCTCTCTTGTTATGGAGGTGGCTGAGCTGGTCGATGCTGCTGGTGGACTTGGCGGGGGACAGAAGGTGGCAGGGTGGGTACCCCCCACTGGGCTCCAGGCTCTCCATGCTCCCCTGGGAGCTGCACTGGTCAGGACTCTGCCTCAGATAAGCATGGTCATAGTTGGAGAGGTCACTTGTGGAGGAGCTAGAAGAAAGGAAGGCAAAGAAGTCAGCACCGCTAAGCTGTTATCATTTAGTAGGCTTAGGAACAGGGCTCAGCTTATAAATGTACTCTGGTACAAGATGTTCGGTTTTTGGAAGGGTGGGCGAAAAGAGCCATATTTGGACCTCGCTCTGCCTCCCTGTGTGCTGTCACTAGGAGTGATTGCCCAACACTGTAACCTCTGTGTGCCTCCAATTAATCACCTCGGCGTGCAAGGGGAGGAACGGGGCGTGCAGAGGAAGCCACGTGGCCTTTGGGCATGGGCAGCACACTGACGTGATTTGCTGTGTGCTGGAAATGACGGCGTGTGCCAAGAAATGAAAGCGGGGGAGTAAGGAATAGAGGCATGGGAGGAAGAGTGATTGGCACTGAAATTTTGTGTCTCTTGGGGCTATTTGTGGGACGGGGAACAGCTTAGTGTCTAGGCATGTGAATGGGTGAGGGAGACTGTGCACGTGTATACATTTTTAGTTAATATCTTTCCTTTTTATGGAACTGGAGGCTTTATGCCCTGGCAGTCTTCCTGGAATATCGAATGCACTGGAGACAACTTGTTTGTAGAGAGAAAGCTAAACATAAAGTTGAATGAGAGAAATTAGAGTTAGAAAAAGCTGATGAGAGGGGGAAGGAGGGGAAGCTTTATGAGAAATCTCAATCACGGGAGTCCTGCACCTATGGCACCTCCACAGCCCGAGCACAGCCTCTCACACCTGCAGGAGGCAGGACGGTCCTGCCTCCTGCAGGTGGTTCTCAGAGCCTAGCTTGGGGGAGGGGGAATGGTGCTCAACCTGGCGTTGCCTCAAAACAAAATTACTTATAATTAGCTTTAATTATAAACTCAAAATATACTTCGTCCAGCATGCCGGGGGAGGGAGGAAATACAGGAAGGACTAAGAAGTTCAAAACTCAAACAGCAGTCTCCATAATTCAAATGTTTGTGGCGCACTGTTCTCTAAAGAAGGATAAATCACGAGGAGTTCTTGCCTAAGATTTTCCATTTTTACATGAATAGGCACGTACGCACTAATTCACGGAGCTATGATTATATTTCTACATCTTATGTAAGTAAATTTGGTGTCTTGGTGGCTGAATATGTGACGATGCTTTATGGCTGGACTGTCCCCAGAATGCACGGCCAGAGACTAGAAGGACCATATTCTGAGTTAGAACGGGTGCTGGAATTCAAAGAAAAGAAGACTACATTTTTAGCAACTAACCTGAAGAATGTAACTTGTCTATATCAGAAAAAGTCAACTGAATGGAGCATCCTGCTTTGAGAAAGACAATAAAGACAAGGGAGAGGGGAAGGGAGCAGCTCTCGAGCCAGCCAGGTTAGTGACACAGCCCGGCATTCACGGCTGGTTTATGTTGATGCCGGATTGTGCCATTGTACCCCCCCCCACTTCCTTCTAAATGAAGAAGCCGTATTAAAAATGCACATGATGTAGTTCAGTTGAGGATAATCCCATGTGAACCACTTATCTCCCCTTACCTCCTCCACCAGAAGATTCAGAGCAAATGCCCTGAGAGGAAATGGAAGCAGTAGATCCCATTAGGGCTGTTTCACTCACCAAATTCCATGTAGGTGGTAGACTCTGTTTAATCCTCCCAACTGCCCAGAATCTTAGCAGTCTTTTACTGAGAAGCTAATTCAGATGTAACTTAGGAACACGCTTAAAAATTCAAGTGAATAAATGGATGGGTTAACTGAAACACTACTGAGTGGGAAGAAATGTGGTTGCTAACATATCTCAAAATATAGATGGTGTCTAGAAGGAATGAAATCACTGGTATACGTGTCTCTAGCTAGGCAGAGCAAGGTCAAAATGGGATCCCTCCTGTAGCTAAAGGAAACATCAGCCACTCAACACAGGTGGAAATGAGGACTATGACGTGCTCTTCCCTGCTGCTCACAGAGGGTCTGCCAGTTCAGAATTCCTATTCCCAAGCTGACTGGGGAAGTTGACCGGTGACATATGCCATGCCATTGAGTGCCCTGACACCCCCCTGTAGAAGCAAGTTCTCCCACCACTCTCTGGGAGCAGTCATGTTGATCCCCTGTGTCATTCTCTTTCAAGATAGCACTCCTGATGGTGGGTAAGAAGAACTTGGCAGGAAGGTCTTCAGTCCCATACAGAAACAGCCTTACCCTCGAGATGAATGCATCCTGACAGAGTCCTTACTGGGGTCTGGCTCCTTGTCCGACCTCGGATTCTATTGCTTCCCGTCTTGCTCACAGCACTCCAGCATGACAGCCTCCTTACTAACTCAAATCTGGGAAGTGTATTCCCGTCTCAGAGTCCCAGGGCCTTTGTGCTCACCGTTCCCACCCCATAAACGGCTCTTTAACTGGCTCTCTCTCTCTCCTTGAAGTCTCTGCATGAGACAGCACCTGGATCTTCCTATCTACAGAGCATTTCTTCTCTCCTTGCGCCTCTGTCACTCCACTTTATTTTCTTCATAGCACTTACCATACTTGACATGACATCATATTCCTTTGATTACATGAAAGAGGCTTCAGTTGAAGCAAAAATGACAAAACGGGAATTCTACGGTAGATACATGCACTCTTATAGTGTTACTCTGCTTTGTGTGCTTAGGAGTATTTTTACTAAATACTGAAAACATAGCAAAGTGCACCAAACATGTGCATGAAAACATCTCCTAAAGCGTGCTCACAGAAGATTAATTCTTCAGATGGTCAACTATGTTTTGAAAATCCTGGGCTAAATAAGTTAAACAATTTTATTTACTGCAAGACTTCTGAGTCTTCAATAAACTATTGTTCATGGGACGTTCTGAAAGGAAAGTACAACAAGAACATATCTGCATAACCCGTGGACACAGAGCAGTGTGGTGACTGCCAGAGGGCAAGGGGGAGTGGGGGCCCGGGAGGAGGGGGCCAAAGAGGGGGAAATGGGGACATTTGCAGTAGTGTCAACAACAACAGTACAGGAAAGAAAACCTTTTGGACCCTAGAAACTTTTTCCAGGGGGCATCTAGTGGATTATTATTCCAGAGAACACACCTTGGGAGACAAATATTATAGAGTAGGGGCTTTTTATGTCTTGTTCATCTGAAACATAGTGGGTTCTCAATACATACTTGAATGAATAAATTGATGAACAAGTACAGGTACTTGAGTATTTTGATACTGTTGTTTCATCCTCTTATGAGGGGACTGGACTACAAGACTTTTCCAGGTCTCTTGCAAACACTTTGGGCCACTGTGTGAGATTTCTGCAGGGCAGCAAACAGGTGGGGGCAGGTCTGACAGAATGCAGCAGCAACACAGTTTTGGTGAAATCCAGACTGAAACCAGCTTGCAGACAGTTAAGTCTTCAGTTCTCTTTGAATCTCTCCCTTCTTCTCTCCTTGCTCCTGCTCCTCCCCCTCCCTTGAGCTCTCTCATGCTCCTGCTTCTTAATGAGAAACAGATGCATAAACTTAGGACTGAGGTTGGGTTTCTGGAACTAAAGGAAGGCTGTCGGAGGGATGCTGACAGATTGATTCAGCACGCTAGACCACTAGATGCCACTGCGCTCCTCAGAAACGCACCCGCAGCTCTTCACCCACTGCTGCCGGTGTCAGACCCTCTGAGTAGAGCCTCGACTCGGGGGTGAAGCCCTTGGCCAGAGCTCCGAGCCCAGGGCATGGAGTGAACATGGAATGAACACAAAGCGTGGATGATTTGTGCTGGGGCAGAAGAGAATCCACACGTCTGTCACACTCTGGGTCATCTGCGCCTTCCTTTCTCCCTTGTACCCTACACCGTGCTTTTGTGCTGAAAGTCACCGTGTCAGGGGGAAGCTGTTCTGAAGCTTGGATTAGAGCGGCAGAGTTGGGGGTAAAGTAAAAGCGGCTCCACCTGCCCAAACCCCTCTGGAAGCCAGGATGGGGATGTGGGGGAGGAGACAGGAGGCAGAGAAGTGCAGCTGTAAGAATATTGCACTTCCACCCCGGCTGACGTAGCTCAGTGGATTGAGCACGGGCTGCGAACCAAAGTGTTGCAGGTTCGATTCCCAGTCAGGGCACATGCCTGGGTTGCAGGCCATGGTCCCCAGCAACCACACATTGATGTTTCTCTCTCTTTCTCCCTCCCTTCCCTCTCTAAAAAAAAAATAAATAAAATATATATAAAAAAAAAGAATATTGCACTTCCGATGCCAAGTCCACCGTCCTCCCGAGACCTCTCGGAGCGCACCGTAGTTTCCATCAGCAGGTATTCCCAGCACTGATGGCAGTAGCCTTGTTTCGGCCTTTGGGTCAGCATGTTTTTAGGTCACAGTACGACTTCAGATTTAGGGCATCCTAAGGTTAAGAGGCTCCAAAGGGCCCCACTGGCATTTTATGTGTGCTGGTTTATAGCATTAACCTTGAAGTTTATTACCAGGTTTCACCATGCCTCTGATAAGTCTTTGGCCTAATGATGAACTATCACAAATATCGAGTGCTTATCATGTTTGAGGAACTACACTAAATGTTTCACACGTTGCTTTGTTTAACCTCCACTATGATCCTTTGACATACATAGTATTAATTTCACTTTATAGATGAGGAAATCAGGATCCAAGAGGTGAAATGATTTGCCCAGGCTCGTGCAACAGGAGGTGAACCTGAGATTTAAACCTGCATCTGCCTTAAAAACCCAGGTACCTTACCGTTACACTGTCCTTCTTCACAGTGTTCATCCCCCGCATCTAACCTGCTGAAGGCCTTCGCCACCCCCATGCCCACCAAGCTGAATCACTATGCCTGTGTGTGTGTGTGGGGGGGGGGGGGGGCGGGTAATAGGGCCCTGCAGGGGACCTGTTCTCCGAACACAGGTGGCTCAGTCAGAGTGAATTCTTTCAGGGTTACTTCAAGGGACATGGGCAAGGGAGGGGGTTCTGTAACAAGGAGGGTAACCAGGACATTCTCTCTTCCTATGGCCTGAAGCCTACCCCAGTATGCTGGGAGCCGTGTCCTCCAGTGAGAGGTCTGAGTCTGGCTCTTCATTTGACCAGGCGTGTTGAGGGTTCTGAGTGCTGGCCTTGCCACACGCATCACCGTCACTGGTTAGTCAGGTAACTCTTTCAGCGGCTGTCCCCCCGCATCGGCACTTGCATCCTGTTTCTGTGCAGGACCCAAATTCCCTGGGCCCCCCCAACCTCTCTACCATTATCCTTACCGGGCTCTTCCAAAATGTGAAAAAGCCACAGAGCCCGACTGCCTGGGATCAGAAGCTAAACTCCGGTCTGCGTGGGTTCTGAGTCTGCAGTAAACGTAGGGAATCCTGACCTGGTTGGGCTCCCTTCCCCCCAGCCCCCGTCACGGTTGATAAAGCAGAAAGGACGTTAAGTACTGAGGGAAGAAGTTTGTCAGTTTTTCTAGTGCAGTGTTATGTGTAATTGAGAAATGTCTGAGAATCAAGAGACTCAATAAATAATATCTCAAATAGCCAGTGCTCAAAATAACTCTGTCCTTCCTTCACAGCCGTCGAGCCAAGGGTCTGAAGATGAGTTGTACACACATTAGGAATTTTAAGAGGGTAGGAAGGTCGTGGGTGGAAAGATTTAATACTCAGGGTGAACGGAAAAAATGTTCTCAAAACAGAAGAAAATGTCCTTTCGGGAAACAAGGACACTTGGAGGAATGGAACCCGTGGGTGTCAGCTTTGGCCACTTACCTGGAATGGTAGCTTTGGGGCCAAGGAGTGCCAATCGTGCCCTGAGATATTTGCATCATGCTGGCATTGGGCTGGTTTTCCCCAAGTTTGGTTGAATGCCAAGAGTGAGGCCGGCCTGCAGGTTCGCTGCGCCTGGGGAGACACAGGAGAGGAACATCAGCAGCAACATCAGCAGCATTCTCAGCTGTCTCTTCACCAATGCGTTCATGCATTTGGAAAATGACTGCTGTATCCTTTTCCTCAGGGGTTAGAAAAAATCAAGTAAATAGTGGAAAGTAGTGCTTATTTCGCTAACTAGCCATTGATATTCTCTGCCTTATTAATGTTTTTATTTTTACTTTGACAATTTCAAACTAATATAAAAATGTAGCATACTCATTGTAAAGCACTCCCCCATACACCCTCATGCACGGTTGGTAAGAATGAAAATTGAAAATTGATACAGCACCAGGGAAAACAGTATGGCGGTTCCTCAGAACGTTAAAATCAGAACTCCCACATGAGCCAACAGCCCCTGACCTCTGGTTCTATGTCCAAAGAAATTTCAGTCAGGATCTCGCAGAGACAGCTGCACCCCCGTGTTCACTGCGGCATTACTCACAGCAACCAGGACACGGAAACAACCTAAGTGTCCATCAACGGATGGATGGAATGAGGACATTATGCTAAGTGAAATAAGCCAAACAGAGAACGACACATACTGTATGATCTCATTTACATGTGGAATCTAAAAAAAGACAAACTCAGAAAACCCGGTGTTGGGGGGTAGGAGAAACAGGAAATTTTGGCCAAGTTAAATGTATTTCAAGTTAAAAGATTAACAAGTTCTGGGACCTAATGTACAGCATGGTGATTATAGCTAATGATACTGTATCATATCCTTGAAAGTCGCTGAGAGAATAGATCCTCAATGTTCTCACCACAAAAAAGAAATGGTAGCTACATGATGGAATGGAGGTGGTAGCTAACCCTAGGGGATGGGGGTGGTAATCATTTTTGCAATTTATAAATGTATCGAATCAACATGTTGTACACCTTAAACTTCGCAACGCAATATATCTACTGTGTCTCAATAAAGCTGGGGGGAAAGAGAATTCCCACGTAACCTTCACCTAAATTTCCTCCATGTTAACATTTTATTATGCCTTATTAACTTAGAGCACACTAATTTGCTTTGGTCTTTTTTGGCCTCAGCTGAACAATACGTAAAGACAGGAGCATGGAAGGAGACTTGGCATGGGGTGGTGAACACACAACACAGTATACAGACAATGGCTTATACAATTGTATACCTGAGACCTATATAATTTTATTAACCAAAGTCAGCCCAATAAATTCAATTAAAAAAAGACAGGAGTAGCCCTGGCTGGCGTAGCTCAGTGGATTGAGCGCGGGCTGGGAACCAAAGTGTCCCAGGTTCGATTCCCAGCCAGGGTACATTCCTGGGTTGCAGGCCATAACCCCCAGCAACCGCACATTGATGTCTCTCTCTCTCTCTCTCTCTCTCTCTCTCTCTCTCTCTCTCTCTCTCTCTCCCTCCCTTCCTAAAAATAAATAAATAAAATCTTTAAAAAAAAAAAAAAAGACAGGAGCAATGATTCTTCCCCACCTCCTAAGAAAAAATAGCTTCCTGGGGATTGTGAAGTCCTTTGTCACAGCCTGACACTGGATACGTGCTGTTATTTTAATGTCTTGGTTAAGAACTACATAAAAACCAGCAGCTACCTACCTCAGTGGCGACACTACTGGAAGCTACATAAGCAGTTAAAGGACAAGCTGCTCTCCAAAGCAGTCTCTCATTTTGCAAGTCAATGACTTCAACTTGAAAACATCCTGCCCTTATAACACAAAGAATGGACAAAACCAATGGGAAAAAGTGGGCGTCCCTCAGACTGCAAGCCTGGAGAATGGATTTAGAAGGGAGGATTGCACTGTTCTAGAAGGTCAGAGTCCAGAGAGAGTGGCTGTGCTTTATTTTTGGCAAAAAATGAGGTGAGAAACTCTTGAACTGTAGGACTGAGGGGAATTCTTCTGTAGTTTACCAACACTTAGGAAATCCAGGAATCCACTTTGATGTGAAGATAAATTTGTACGTATGTCTACCTATATGTTTCTGTGAAAAAAAAAATCGGCTTTTGTAATGTAAATGAGAAATCATTCCCCTGATGCCAGTAAAATTCCAAGTCCTAAGTGTATCAGAATAATAGTAGTCCAGCTGTCAGGAGACTTGGGTGCTCACCTTGAATTTGTTACCAGCCTGCTGCGTGACCCTGTGTAAGTCACTTCACCATAAGCTTTTGTTCATCTAAAAATGAAGACATTCATCAAAGAGGCTGGGTTAACCTCATTTTAATCTGACGTAACTTTAAGATGTATAAGAAAGACACCGAAGGATGTGCCAAAAGAGAGAATGATTTGAAAAAAATACACATATTTCAACTCTCTGGAGAGAGGCTATGGTGATAGAATTGTTTTGTGTAGCGCAAGGGATACAAATGCATGAGATTTTCAGCAGTCGGTCAATAAATATGTATTTAATGGAGGGAGCCTAGAGTCTTAACCACTTGAGTTTCCTCATCAGTAAAAGGCAGATTATAACAAACTATTTATGGTGTCTTTTGTGAGATTAACAATGAGATATTGTACTTGGCCCACAGTAAGAGTACCATAAATGAGCACGATTGTCCTTAGTCATTCATTGCTGGTGAGCTGATGAGGACTAGAGAGGCTGGGGAGACAAGCCGATCAGAGAGAGCTAAAGTGTAGGACAGAAAGGGGAGGGTGTGGAGGGAGAGGTGGAAGAGAGGGGAGTGGGCAGGAACTATGGATGGCGGTGAGTCACCTAGAGCTCCCCAGTAAGAGCTCCCCAGTGAGAGACCGAGAGGATATAGTTATGTCAGAGGCTGGTCTAGGCCTCTGGTCACAGCCTGCAGGACCGTGGGCATGCCTGCGAGGCAATGGCTGTGACGTCTGGTTAGGGAGGTAAACACAGGCCAAGTGGGACCAGACCCCGCCCACCTGGAATGAGGAAAGAACTGAAGGAAGCAGGAGCACAGCTGAGCTAAAGAGAGGAAGTAGGGTGCAAGACCAAGAGATTGACATTGGAAGCCAATATATTACAATGCACCTGTCTCCTTGCCCCCATCACTCTCTACTCCTCACAGCAGGTCGCAGGTAACCCATACCTCAGGTTCAGCACTGCCCCAAAGTTCAATCTGTCCTTTTCTTGAAGGAAGAATCGGGGAGCTCTAGGTGAATGGCTCAGTGTCTTAGCGGCTTGGCATTCTCACTGTGAGCCTGCTCTGACGGTGGGCACCTACCTCCTGAGAAACCAGGTTCTTCAACCAGTTCCTCAAAGCCGGCCACCGCCCTCGAGCCCCAGTTTCTCACTGACCTGGATTCCTGCTTTATTTCCCAGTGACTTGAAATCCTTCCTGCTGCCCCAGGCCCCGCTGGCGCTGGCCAGGATCACACAGCCCTAGTCCCAGAGTCAGGGTTCAAACCCATTTACAATGACTTCAGGCACTCAATTAATGTTACTTATTAATTATACAGGGGTGAAGAAAACCCCCAGAATTTAATGAAAAAAATTAATAAGTCTCTTTTTCATGAGGCAACTGGCAACATTTCTAAATGCTCCAAATGGGTCCAAAGACAGAAAAGACGTAGCAGAAAGAACAAAGTGTCACCTTCCCGCCCCATGTTTGGCAGGACCCCTCTCTGTACTGGGATCCTAGTCCTAAGACTGGGCACTGGCCTGGAGCAGTGACGGACACAGCCGAAGAGCAAACCCCACCTCGCACCTGTGAGGGAAGACACGGAGGCTTCCTCCCCCAGGTGGGATCTGCCCACACTGTGCTGGAAAGACCCCGAGGTAAATGAACAGGCCCGACAGGTTCCACAGGCTCTAAGCATGAAGATCCCTCTTCCAGTCACAGACAGGAAGAGGGAGACAATGTTCACCGAACTTTGGCAGTTCTGGAGCAGCCCTCTCATCGGACATCCCAAAGAGAAGAGATGAGGTGCCCAGAGCACGATACAGAGACCCAAACTTCCTATCGGACTTCCGCCATGAAGGATCAGACATGTTACTGGAAGTTCTAAATCAGTCTTTTTTGAAGTGTCAGAAGATACCATGCATAGCACAAAGAAGGCCAATGGAGCTGTTGGCCTAGATTAGACGAAGGAAATTTCTCTTTGTGCCTTGAAGAGCAAAGCTTTCTTTCACATGTAAGCTATCCAGACCTTTCCTCGGTTTCCTTCCCATTCATTCAGGGGACATCCAGAGACTTTCTATAATGTCAGCCACTATGCTGGCACTGGGACTACAAAGAATAACAAAGTACCATCAGACCCAAACAATTCACAGGGCCGTGGAAGAGACAGCCATGTAAACCACTCAAATACAAGGTGATTGGTTCCATAATCAGGAGACTGGTTCCGCAGAGAGGAGAGTAGCAGCACTGTGGCCTAGTAGTAGGCACCTCTTGACCTAGTAGTAGGTCAAGAAGCCTGTGCCTTTAACTAAATGACCCACATAAGATTTCTCCAGGTGGAAGGAGGTGGGCAAAGACAGAGAAGGACATCCAGGTAGAAGAAGTGGCATGACAAATGCATAGAAACCTGCAAGCACACAGTGCACACAACTCAAAGGAGTAAGGGGAAGAGCAGCCGGTGAAGGTAAAGAGGTAGGAGGGGCCAGATCTTAACATGCCTCTGGGGGTCTGGACAGTATCCCGTGGGATTGGAAGTCACCAGTAACATTGGCCAGGGTGGGAATATTCAAATTTGAGATTCAGGAAGATATTGTCAATAACAAGGAGAATAAACTTGAGGGACAGGATTGGCAGCTATCATAGTGGCCAGGGTGAGATAATGAGGGATGGGCACAAGGGCAGTGGCAGTGAACTTGAAGAGATGATAGATCTTAAAGCCGCCGAGAAGGCAAAATGCCCACCCAGCCTAGTGACTGCATGGATGTAGGTGGTGTGGAAGAGAGTATAGTCGAGGAGGAAGGATGGCCTTTAGGTTTCTAGGATGGTAGTATTATTAATCCACGTGAGGAACTCTTAGATGGGGCGGGCAGCGAGAGGGAGGAGGGAATGAGTGGGCGTGCAGATGTCAGGCGCTCG